ATCCTGTTAGCCTAGTTTGTATTCATTTTAAATATTTCCTAATGTTTGAAAAAAATCTCTGAAATTATTTTTCAAGATTTTTATTCCAGTAATTGAATGTTTCTTTTCCAAGGAAATATTCTGAAAATAATTCAGAAAGGAAATATTCAGTAAAGAAATATTCTGTCTGTAAATCTAAAGAACATATGTGAAAACTATGCAGCATTACATGAATGAGACTTTCTGGTATATTGTTACTATGAGAAGTACTAGACAGTATGTTTAATTTTAATTTTTGAAGTTCTTGCAGATTAAGTATTGATGGCAACAAAAGTACCCTAAAGAATGTTTGCTTTTGGTGTAGTCTGCAGCCGCCACCCTAAATTATGCAATCCCTTTACTAGTAAAATGACTTCTCTGTTGTTTTGTGATACCCACAGAGTATGCTCAGCCACTCGTAGGAGGAATTGTTGGTACACTTCATCAGAGATCTACCTTTAAACCAGAAGAAGGAAAAGAAGCAGGCTATGCAGACCTAGATCCTTACAACTCACCAGGGCAGGAAGTTTATCATGCCTATGCTGAACCACTCCCAATTACGGGGCCTGAGTATGCAACCCCAATCATCATGGACATGTCAGGGCACCCCTCAGCTTCAGCTGGTCTGCCCTCCACATCCACTTTCAAAGCTACGGGGAACCAACCGCCCCCGCTAGTGGGAACTTACAATACACTTCTCTCCAGGACTGACAGCTGCTCCTCAGCCCAGGCCCAGTATGATACCCCGAAAGGTGGGAAGCCAGGTCCACCTGCCCCAGACGAATTGGTGTACCAGGTGCCACAGAGCACACAGGAAGTATCAGGAGCAGGAAGGGATGGGGAATGTGATGTTTTTAAAGAAACCCTTTGAAGGTGATGCTGCTTTTTACAAAGCATCGTTTTAAAGCACATGGCCTTTTTTTTTTTTTTTTTTAATTATTAGTGGTAGTAATATATAGAATGTATTACATATCTGTCACTGAAGTGGTTGGGGAAAATGTGGTGACTGAGGTACAGGAAACTACTAATCTTGCCATCTTGCTTTAAAGGTGTTATGGTGGCACAGTTACTGCTCGCCTGTTAAATTTCAAATGTCCTGTTTGATACTACTGTAGAACACTATTTTTAATACAGAAAAAGCTCCCTATAATGCACTTCAGAGAAATGAAAAATCACTGAGAGTATTTATTACCAATGCTGCAGGTACATTAATGAACTCGAGATGGCTCTGTAAGCCTGACTGGCAATAACGCACGGTACTGTTCTTGAAATACCTAATGGCTTGAAATTCTAGTCTTGTTTGTGAAAGATGGGTACTATCATGATTTCCTCTTTTATTCCTATATTCTTTTCTGGATTATGTTTTTTTAAATAATTACTGATATAAGCATTGTTTTGATTGCAGCCGTATCCACTTATCCATCTTAAGATCTCTAGCTGGGATTCTCTGACTTGTAATGAGCAGGGGGATTGCTTTTTCACTTTGTGACACTCTTTAGAGCTTTAATGCTTCACAGTATATGGCCTGGTCTCGTCCTTGCGTGTTCCACTTGAGGCCCTTGGTGGCTTGCCCCATTCTTGTGTTTGTAAAATGTTTATTTCTGATGAGTGATGCTTGCCTTAGTCTCATGAATTCAGATCCCTTCATGTCTTTAAGTATGCTCCTCTATGTGTAAACAGGAACAACTTGACGATTTGAAAGCTTTAAAGGAGATTCTTCTCCCACCTCCAACTTTATTTACAATGGGATTTTTCCTAGGAGAGTTATGAAAAGTTGAAGGCTTCTAAGGGAGTGCTGTAAACATGATCCACTTAAATTTATCACAGTGAAAGGCAAAATTATTCACTCAGAAGTAATATAAATTACCTCTTTAAAAAGTAACCAGAATTTGTCCTTTTGGGTTTTATACATTCACAAAATATACTTTTTTCTTGAGTCTCAAGGTATTTTATATTTTTAGTCAGAAAAAATTTTTCATTTCAGTTTTCCATAAACTATTACACACAATATAAACCTAACGTGTATTTTTCAGGACTGCATGATCGTGCACTTTGTCTATGTGGTAAGAGGTTTGAGTAATCCTGTATGTCACCTAGGAACAGACATTATAGCTTCCTAGCAAATGAATATTCATGCCTTGTTTTTGATACCTCCTGGCAGCTTCCATGTCACCACTTGTTCATACCTGCCCAGAGCTAGTTTTAGACACAGCAAAATTGAAACCCTCTGTAATTTATTAGCCAACAATGTAAAACCATCTTTAAAAGCCTTCAGACTGGCAACATGACATGAGCAGTTCACCATATGATAAAAATATATAAATCTGACATTCCCTCTTCCATAAACCTTTGTCTGTAGATTTAATGTAGAACAGTACTTTTCCATAAAGTTCAAGTCACTTCTGTTGGCCTGAGCCACCAGATTATGTTGTTGCCAGAATTCACTCAATTTGAATAAAGATGAACAGTGTTTGTTTTCTTGCTTCCATGAATTATATCAGTATTCGAAAACATGGCTTCAGAAAGAGCACTGTTTATTTCTGCAGGCTTCCTGCCCTTTTGTGGTATGGTTTTGTTGGCCTTATTTTCACTGGTTTTTCCTTCTCCGGACTTTGAGGCGCAATTTCATTCATTGAAAAATCAATACATATTTTGTTTCAAAATGTTTGAAACAAAAGACATACATGTTAGACTTTTATGAAAACATACATGGATGTGTAAAGCACATGTATTATTAACGCAGTCATCCCTTTTCATGTGGGAAGAGAGCAAACCAGTTGATTTTTTTAATTCATCCTTAACACAGAGAATATACTTTTCCTCAAGTAATATACCTGTTTGAAGCTTTAAGAGAGATGTTTTTGGTAACTATTTCATTTTCCCAAAGAAGTTTGCTATTCTTATGTTAATTGTGTATACCTGATTGATTGTTTTTTCCTGGAGGTTTTTGTTGTTGTTTAGTTTTGGTTTTTTTTTTTTTAAGAGGCAAGTGTTTCTGAAATGATGCATATTTTAAAACTCAATTCATATTGCCACTGTGCTGTCCTTGAACTACCAATAATTTTTATAAAATATCTAGTTTTTACTACTTTTATATAAACTTTACTTTCCAGATGAAGAGCTGAGCCTGATTCAAATGGTTTTTCTGCTTTGTACTTCTTTTTAGTTTATTGGTTTTTATAGTAGAGGTTTTCTATTTTTTTTTTTTTTTTACTACATTTATATCTGATACATATATAGCTTTGGAGACAATCAAGTAACAACTGAAAATGTGAAAGTAACTGTATCTGACAAAATTCCCTTGTATTTTTATCCTTTGCTTGCAACATTTAAGACTTAAAGTCACTGGTGTATTGGATTAAGTTTTTTCTTATTAATACAGTTATAGAAATACATCAGAGACACAACAAATGTGGCCATTACAGGTTTCATAAAATTACACTGACTTGGCTGTTACTTGATCTTAGGAAACAGCACAGTTTAAGATATTGTGAATTCTGACTTATACTTTATTAAATGCTGTAAATCTAAATAGATCCTGTTGTATGTGCTGGGTCTAGTCCAGTTTATTTAAGTCCACGTTTCACTGTTTGCACTTTGCATTGAACAATGGGTTTATTCACTGATGTAAATGGTTCGAGTGAAGAATTAATGCAGTAATTACGACAACACATACACTTGCCTCTCCCCATCCCCAGAAGAGGGGAGCAGAATCCGAGCTTATCTAAATATGAATGTGGCCACAAAGCTGTGGAAAGTGACAAAGCTTGAACACCTTTGCCCTGGCTCAGCATTGTCACCTAGAGAGCAAGAGGTCTATAGAAACATCATGTCAGATGAGACGATTCTCTGCTTTTTGGTTCTGAACTTGAAGTCCCTAAACTGCAAGATCTAAGAGTTGGATGGTTATTAAAATGCTTTTAAAGTCCAGTGTGGCACCAATTCTCATGTAATCCAACTTGATTTTTTTTTTTTTTTTTTTGGTGGCACTGGGCAAAGTGGAAACAAACATGTATTGAAATACATATTGGAAATAAAAATGGTTTGAGCGTCAGTGATATTCTCCCAGAATGTACTTTTCTTACCTCGGCATGTACTGTAGTCACTCAGTATTTGTATATGTTGCTAGAATTTAGATTGTAAAATAGTGAAATTTTAATGTGTTCATTTGTTTTTAATAAATTGTATATATGTCTTGCTCAGATTATTTGGTTTAAATAAAACAACCTTGAGGTTTGTAGCTTTTCCTTATACTATAAAATGCCAGATTCTTCGATTTTAACATCACTCATTTATGGCCAATATTGTGCTTCCAGCAACATTTGAAAATGCCACTATTGGTTTTTACTTTGACTTTTTCTATGACCAGCACCATCCTTTTTTTAAAAAAGTAATTTCACCTTTTATTTTAGATTCTAAGGGTACATGTGCAGGTTTGTTAGATGGGTATATTGTGTGATACTGAGGTTTGTGGTATGAATGATCCTGTCATCCAGGTTGTCAGCATAGTACCCAATACATAGTCTTTCAGCCCTTGCCCTTCCTCCTCCCCTCACTCCCCCCACCCCAGTCCTCAGTGTCTGTCGTTCCCATCTTGATGTCCTTGTGTACCCACAGCACCATCCTTTTTGAAGCCTGATTCACTTTATATCAACTGAACTTCAGCAGCCACACTGCAGCCTGTAGCTGTTGGTATGAGGGGAAAATCACACTGATTGATTACATGTGAGTCCAGTTCTGGTACCTTCCTTTTGCACCTCAAAGTTAGAAGAATCAAACTGTGGCACTCTGCAAACATATGCTGGTATTCATAGACATAGTCCATAATTAATGTCTGATCTGGGTTAAATCAGCTACTACTATTCTCCCCTTTATCCTGCTTTATAAGTACTGCATTCTGTTTCTGAGCCCGATCTAATGTATTTCACCCTTTATACACCCTCTTTAGAGAGGCAGGTTGGTTGTCAGTAATCAAGCCATGGTTTTCCAGTGTTTTCCATTTGTATTTATTGTTCAAAAGAGAGTAATTCTTTCTTCAGCTCATACCTCTTCTGACAACTTTTAGTTCCATCCTTATAACCTCTATTCTGTTCCTTCACCTCTCATTCCCCCACCTCCAGATGGCCTTTGGTTACATTTATTAAAATACAGGAAGGGAGACTACCTCACCACATTTGTAGGCTTGACTGGCTTGCATTGGATCAGATTCTCTGGTGCACCCTAGGTAGCCAGGCAAGCTTTCCATCTGAAGATTAGCTTTAATCATGGGAAAATGAGATTTTCTTTTTTTACCATTTAAATCCAAAAATGCCAACTTCACTATTTTTTTTGGAAGATAGTCTCACTGTCACCGAGGCTGGAGTGTAGTGGCGCAGTCTCGGCTCACTGCAACCTCTGCCTACCAGGCTCAAGCAATTCTCATGCCTCAGCCTCCCAAGTAGCTGGGACTATAGTGTGTACCATGACGCCCAGCTAATTTTTTTGTATTTTAGTAGAGATGAGGTTTCACACCATGTTGGCCAGGCTGGTCTTGAACTCCTGAGTTCAGGCAATCCAGCTCAGCCTCCCAAAGTGTTAGGATTACAGGTGTGAGCCACCATGCCCGGCCTCAGCTTGACTTTTCTTAAGCGTTTACTTGTTCTGTTATCTTACGTACCTTTCCTAATTTACTTCAAGTGGAAAACCTTCAAAATTTAATAAGTCAGGCAAAAAAAAATAATGTTCAAGATTTTTTTTTCCTTCTTGAGCTTGCCTAGCTTAGCCTCATTGTATAAAGTTAAACTTCATTTCTTTAAAATAATACAAAGCCATCAGACTTTAGTAATTGTATTCTTTAGTTATTTACTTAGCTAGAACTTTATGTTTAGCCTATTTCCTTTAACTTAAAAACACTGCCTTCATTGTACCAAATTACTCTTCACAATCATGGTTCATTTAATTCTGGGGTTGTCAGGGGAGAGCTTAAACCAGTATGAACTTAGATTTCCAGAGCCGAGCGGTTTCAGCTTGCCACATCAAGCCACATCATGTGATTTTCCACGAGCCATGTTTACAGTAGCCAAATATACTTCTCAAAATGTCTTACTACGGTCAGAATTGTTGTGGTAAACTAAATCCTTAGTAGGAAGTCATATCCCTTCAAAAATCTAAGATGAAGTTACTATAAAAAGACGTGTAAAAACACCTCAGAAAACTAGCTTATTTTAAAAACAATGCAATCAAAACTTATTTTCCCGATATCTTAACCCTTCTTGGTTTTCATAAGTTAAATATACAGTATTCACAGAAATTAAGCTGGTGGTTATGAATCACCAGGCAGCAACAGACAATAAACATAATTATTTGACGAGTGCATCCAACATATTTTAAACTAAAAATTGCAGTACAAAAATAAAACTAACACTGTTAGCATCATCTTCCGAGTCTGTAGAGTCAGTCTTGAGTCAAGTTGATTACCAGGTTTTTTTCTATAATGTCCTTCAAAAAGAGCTGCTCTGCAGTCACATTGTGATACGCGTTCTAAAGAAGAAAAATGCAGTTACCATCTTTCCCAGTCTCAACGTTGTTAGCAGTACCAATGGAATACTTCATATTTTAAAAGTTCTGAATGAAGAACTCGAATGTTAAGTAACGAGTTGCATGGACTTTTAACTTTTGATAGCCTTTTAAATTACTTTCCTTGCTGGTTCTTGTGCAAAAGCTTTCCCTACAGCCCACTCTTTCCACTTCAACTCTCACATAAGTAAGACTCCTTCATATCAAACCCTGGTAGACCGAATCATGGTACAATACAAATCTGGAGACCAAAATTTTGAGTTGTTCACTTTAATGGAAGAAGCCCCTAGAACTCAGTTTAAGAACAAACAAAAAAATCAGCCTGGAGATAAGAAACTTATAATGCCTAGTTCAGTTTAAGATGTGTTAAAAATTACTGTTCTATACATGAATATCTAAGTTTTCTTCCTGAGGAAGTTGTTTTAATATTCTGCTTTTTAGGTGACACTTGAAATACCACAAGTGCTACAGGAAAGTTTAGGGCCGAGGAGAAATGAGCCTAATCCAAAGTCTGTTGGGGCACCTAATTCTTGAAATACTTAAGTGCTTGTCTTACGTGGTGGGGACAGAGGATGAGGATGAGGTACAAAAGACAATACTAAAATCTAACTTGATTTATGCCACTTCCTCAGCTTATAGTGGGATGATTCAAGGGGACTCATTTCATGAGATATATCCCTATACTTTATATCAAGTAATATTTCAATATTAAAAGTATACAGATAACATTTTAATCCTATCACTTGTGATGCACTACTAATTTACATTAGAGTTAGAAAACTAGGAAACTCCTTCCCAGTCAAGTAAAATACAAATCCTTAGTCAGGCACAGCAGCTCATGCCTGTAATCCCAGCACATTGGGAAGCTAAGGCGGGCAGATCACATGAGGCCAGGAGTTCGAGACCAGCCGGGCCAACATGGCAAAAACTCGTCTCTACAAAAATACAAAAAAAGAAAAAAAAATTAGCCGGGCTTGGTGGAGGGGGTGCCTGTTATCCCAGCAACTAGGGAGACTGAAGCAGGAGAATCACTTGAACCTACAGGCAAAGGTTGCAGTGAGCTGAGATTGTGCCACTGCACTCCAGCCTGGGCGAAACAGTGAGACTGTCTCAAAAAAAAAGAAAAAAAATTAAAGCAAAATTGTTAAAAAACAAAATACAAATCCTCACTATTAATCCCTATTCAAGAGAAGTGTGATCCAGTATGAAGGTTTGTAACCTTTTTGACCATGAAGATTCTCTTGTAGGGTTAAAATATTCTAGATCATCTTGTCTACTTATAAACAACTGAGAATAATTAAGCATAGCAATGCAAGGTGAATTTGTAATATCTCAAACACAGCAGGTTGGCTGAATTTCCATAGTGCAAATATGATAGAATATCTAAAGTAAGGTTCTGTACTTATATGGATTTGATGACACTTGGCAATAACCATGAGGCCCATAAATTGGGATTTGATGCTGTAGTAAAATGATCCTGTACATGAGTTCTAGTTGCAGCCCTTGGTAGCCCTGTAATCCCCATCAAGCCCTCAACCACTCAAAACCTGGTCCCTCAGTAATGAGTGTGAGAAGAGAAAATATGGGATTTCCATCCCTCAAGGATTAGTCCAAAGCATATGTATATTACCTAAAGTATATTACCTTATTCATCAAAGACATGGTGGCATTCCCATAGTAGTGCAAAGGACTCTTGAGGTCAGAAAAGTTGTATTTAAAACCAGCTAGGTGAACTTCGTGACATATGTAAAATGCCAATGTGATAGCAATAATTCCTGTTGTTGGGTGTTTAGGTTTCTGGGGGAGAGAACGAAAAAAAAAATTTTAAGCAAAAGGAGCTACTTGTTTGCAAAGCATATTTAGTTGGCCGAATCATATAAAACAGGGATTTCTAAACATTTAATAAGGAGAAAAATAATTAAGCTCTCATATAAGGCTCAAGCCCCAAAGAGTATGCATATATACCTTAACTCTAAAAAATATATAAACTGTGACTGAAATCTTAGGAAGTCTTTAAAATAAAATATAGCTGCGGTATTAGCCCAGAGGACAACTATCAAATGAAAGAATACTGTGAGGCTTAAGGAAGAGAATGTTGCTGTATTGTTTTAAAAAATACAAAAACATGATGAGTCAGGCCTCTTACAGCAAAAGCAAAGCCTGGGAATTTTGAACATGTATGAATTTTAAGGACAGCTTAATTTGCAAATGGATGGAATCATGATAAAAGACTTCATATAAATTCGCCTTTGAATAGCTATATTTTATACTCACCATTTAACTCTAGGGAAAGGCTAATCAAGCACTTCAATGACAAATTGTAATAGTATCTGACTAGAAAATAAATATTCCAAATGCATACATAGCAATATCACAATCTCAACTGCACCATTAGTTTTTTAGAAAGAAAAACCAAGCATCCTCTTTTCCTTGTCTTACATATATCTTGAAAACCAGTCTGACAGATATTTGACAAGAGGGTCTTGGCTTCCAGAAATTGTAATTTTCACTGAGATGGGCTTCAAAGCAAAAAATAAGATATATCGTAAGCTTTTTATATAACGCTTTCAATAAAGTGTTTCTTATAGTTCCCATTGAAATTACATATGACTTAGTATGATTTTGAGGAAAAGAAAAAAAAATCGAAGAAGCACAATCAAATCAAATCAACTCCAGGAGGCAAACTTGTCTGAAAGTGTTAACTGCCTTCAGCATAAACTTTTCTTTATCCTGTGTACCACTGTAACCTAGAAGTCATTCAGCCTCAGTGATCCCATTACTTTTTCCTTCTCCTTGCCCCTTTTAATGTCTTCTACTTCCTTTCTTCACATCTTAAGAGTCCTTCGGCCGGGCGCGGTGACTCACGCCTGTAATCCCAGCACTTTGGGAGGCGGGCGGATCACAGGGCCAGGAGATCGAGACCATCCTGGCTAACACGGTGAAACCCCGTCTCTACTAAGAATACAAAAAATCAGCCGGGCGAGGTGGCGGCGCCTATAGTCCCAGCTACTCGGGAGGCTGAGGCAGGAGAATGGCGTAAACCCGGGAGACGGAGCTTGCAGTGATCCGAGATTGCGCCACCGCACTCCAGCCTGGGCGACAGAGTGAGACTCCGTCTCAGAAAAAAAAAAAAAAAAAAAGAGTCCTTCATCCGTCTTTATAACCACTCCTTTATGTAGACCAGCTCTTCTGCAGCCATCACTCACAGAACCTATATTACCGCCTGACAAAACTCTCAGAAGAGGAATAAGCACTGCAGTCAACCTGTACCCACACCCCAGCAACAGAATAGGGCAGCAGAAAAATATGCTTATGACCCAACTCTCAAACAGGCATTAAGTATGCCCAGCAATCCAGTTACGTTTGACTAGTAAATTTCCATTCCTACTCTCCAAGATGAGAATGTATAACTTTGTATCCTCCAACAGCCCTACTCTCCTTCCTAATTTGACTATTTAATCTCTATTTTTTAAGGAAACAAAAGCAGTCAAAAGAATGACTTCATCATCCGAACTCCAAATCTACCATCTTACCTGTATCTTTACTCACATTTGCAGTGCTTATTCTCCTATAATGGATGAGATGTAACTTCAGCAACTTTTCACTAGTCTATATTTTATCCCATATCACTTCTCAACAATTTTACTTCTGTACTTATTTACTTTCTCCCCTCATCATCAGTGTTTCTTTCTGCTGAACCGCTCCCTTCAGCATATACACAGACCAAAAAAGAACAAAACACGCTTCTTCAATCCTGTATCATCTTCCAACTACTGCTTCATTTCTCTGATCCTTGTTCTAGCAAAAAGTCCACTAAAGATTTGTTGCTGCTTGCTCATGTCCCAGGTTCTCTTCAACCTAATTTAAGCAGGCTTTTTCCTTCTTTCTTGTTGTCAATATATATCACCAATATGACCTCCACGTTTCTGAAACCAGGGTTTATTATTTACGTTCAACCTCTGGACAGCATCCGATATGGCTGACTTCTCTTGAAATACTGCATTTGGTTTCTGGGACACCATGTCCTACTGGGACTTTGATGTAGCTACAGTTTGTTCTAATGTTATCACTAAGTATGTTCAGGGTCTTCCTGTGCTTTTGGAATTAAAGATATTACCTAAAATGAAGAAGCAAGAGATGTACCTGATCATACTTCACTTAGAAAGATAGGAACTGAAAAGTCACAAAACACACATTCAGAAGCTGTCCTTTACCCTCAAAATTACTAGGAAGTCAGCTTTAAAATCAAAACACAGATGCTTTTTGACTTGAGCATTCCACTTCCAGCAGTCTATCCTACAGAAATGCGACAAATGGTCAGAAAACCCCTATAAACACATGTACTACTACATTATTTAAAGAGAAGAAAATGTTGGATATATCTGAGTGTCTATAAATAGGGGAAGAGTTAAATAAAGGGAAAAAAGAAAATAACAATACCCATGGTATAATCATAATTATACTGAACAAACAAAAAAGGTGTGTGTTTATGAATGCATAGCAAATAGTCTGGAAGCACATAAAAGGTAGAAAAGCTTCAGAGATTACATGGGTTACAGAGGGAAGAGAAAAGAATGGTGACTTCCTTTTTGATTTTTAATATTATTTTCAGTGTGCAACACTAACTTACTTGTTTTCAGCATATAACACTTTTGAATTTCTTAATCACGATTTTTATCATGCTAAATATACATCATGAAAATACATGATATATATTTATTTCTTTGGATTTTTCCCTACTTTAAAAAGGGGGAAAAAACTCATTTCAACCAAGGTATCATGTTATACAGTTACTCAAGCTTCCAGGGAAAAATATATCTGCCACCGTATGGGTCTAGAGTATTGTTTTCTAGGTAAAGTAGGCAAACAGGAGTGAAAGTCAACGAGATTTCAATTTGAAGTTTCAAGAACTCTTTCAATACGGCTGTAACTGCCATTTCTTGAGAATTCAGTGCCAACATTTCCTCTGACCACAGAAATGTTTCTGGACTACTTTATTGTCCTTCCTCACCTTTCCTCTGGCTTTCCTGTGATATTTTTATCAGAGCATCTCAGACAGTTCTTTTCAGCTTGCAAAGCCATGCACTTGTCCTGAAGCCAGGCCAGCTACTCTGAGCACAAGCCTGCCCGTCAGCCCACCCAGTCAGACTCTCCTCACTGCAGAACACTGAAGACAGAGTTATGAAAGAAAAACTGTTTGAGCATGCGCAAAGAGACCCCAGGAAGGCCCTACAAGGGCGGGAAAAAACCCAACTTAAAATTATATTTCCTTGCAACATAAATGAAAAACATAAAGATAATATCCACAGATAACTACTTTCACTAACTCAGAGATGACCCTCAGAAATCATCTCATGAGATGATTTTTTTTTTTTTTTTTGAGAGTTCCCAGGACCCTCTATCCTACCTCAGCCAGATCTGTAGTTTGAAACCATGCAGAGATAAATACATACCTGATTTTTGGGAAACACTTTTGGAAAATGAAGCAGTTCATAAGCTGCTGTTCTGATAATGAAAGGATCTAATATTCGGATTTGATAAGGTTTATAAATCAGGTTTAAGGCTGGTTTCTTCCAAAAACCATTAGTGTTCTGAAAGTAAGAATATAGAGAATAGAACAGTGTGGCTGTCTGTTTTTTAAGGAAAAAAAGCACTACAGGTAATCTGAAGGCAGAACAATTTTGCCTACTTACTATTTTGTCACCCATCAACAATTCCAACAGCCACCTTAAATCATGTGGCTTAAAAGCAGTGAGAATCACTGTCGTATTAGGGTCATTGTGAATGGGATCTGAAAAAACAGATTCTGGATAAAAAAGTCGGAAGGTTGTCCTTCTCCCAACTTCTTCTTCGTGTCCTAAAACAGGACCATTATTCATTCTGTGGATAGTAAAACATACAAGATATGTAGACCAAGTGCAGTATGTGCCATTTCCATCACAGTTCTCAGAGGTTTCAGAGTTGGACAAACATCAGCCTTTATCCTGCACTCTGAAGCCACAAAGCAACAGATCAATCTTTCACACATAATGGCCAAGAAGATCATTCCTTTTCATTAAATCATTGGTTGATCAAAGGCAGAAATACTCATTTGTATTTGAAAATTAATTGTGGAGCCAATGATAATTCAGTCTTCCCTCCAGGGGAACTGAAGACTAAATTAAAAAAATGGGAACACAGAGCCCCAGGATACCAGAGTTGAAAGAGACCTTGGAGGACAAACCCCTGGAGAGAAAATTACTTGCTCAAAGCCACACAGTCATATAGCACATGGATGTGTGTGACTAACAGGTAAGAAGAATCACATTTCAGTTGGTTTAAAGACCCATCAAAATGGTTGTACTCTGAAATAAAGTTAACAATATAAATTTGCTATATTATATTCAAGCACAACCAAATGAATGTCTATTGCTAGAGTAAACTAAAGAACCACAAAGGATCTACTGTTGAGTTTGTGTATGCTGAAAGCCAAGGTTGGACATGCACTATTTATGTACACATTATGAAGGAATGCTATAAAAAAAGAAATGCTGTTTCCAAAACAGTGTCCCCAAGGTGGATAAATACTGTTTTGCCCTTTGCCACTGACTCTATGTAATATAAGACGAACAGACTTAATAACACTTGAGATGACTTTCAAAATATTGTACCCATGGCATTTTCCTGTAAGGGCTTCCTGTGGCTCTAAATTATCAGATTTAGACAATTATGGGTAGAGAAACCTGTGATTGCTCTAAAATTGTTTTGTAGGTAAATTATCACAGCTTCCTCAAAATGGATAGTAAACAGAAACCCTAGGCAGCTTGTAAGCCCACAAAACCCCCAATACTGCCAAACCGTCCTAATGGATTGCCTCAGTATGCTAACTTTGCCATTCTTTAAACTATTCACAGCTACTCCTAACACACACACACACCCCAGATGATGACCTTATCTCAACCTTTCACTAAAAAAATAGAGATAGAAAGGGCCGTATTTTCCCCTCACTACATCAGAGGGACTCTTGGTAGTTGTAACCACAATTCTGGCTCTCCTTTCCATTAGAAAATATTGTATTCTGAACCCCCTCCCCTCTCTTTTACCAGACCGATCTCTTTCTCATTTCCACCAGTTAACCAATATGCTATAGAGCCTCCAATCTTTTCAAAAGAAGAAAGCAAAAAAAATCTCCCCTGACTGCATAACCATCTCTAACTGCCATCTGATTTCTCAACTCCTCTTTGAAGCAAAATTTTTGGACTACATTGGTTTCTCTACATTTTCATCTGTACATTCAGGTGTGCATTCTCTGCATTCCCTCGTCAACCTATTCCAGCCGAACTTCTTGCCACATCATGCCTCAAAGCCTGCTTTTTTCAGGAGTGTCAATGAGCTTCAGGTCACCAGTCCAATGGTCACCACTGTCCTTATCTTGCATGACCTCTCACCAGCACTGGGACACAGTTGGTCACTCCTGTCCTGAAACACTTTGCTCTCTTGGCTTCTGTGATCACTTTCTCCTGATTTTCTTCTTACCTCACTGGTGGATCCTCTTCATCTCCTTTACACATTCCTTTTTCTTTGCTCAACTTCTATACTTTGAGTTCTCCAAGGCTCAGTCCTCACTCTCTTCTCTCTCTCAGTCTCTCCTTGAGAAATCTCACCCAGTCCGTGGTTTAAATACAGCTTATAGGCCACACGCCATCAAGATTTTAACCTGTTTATCCAACTGCCTACTCAACTTACCCACTGCAAATCTAATAAGCATCTCAAATCTAACATGTTCATATCATGGTTTTCCTCTAAACCTGCTCCTATACCAGTCTTCCCCAACTTAATGATACCACTCTCCAGTCAATCTCCTAAGCTGAAAACAGAGTAGGAAGTATCCTTGATTTCTTTATTCTCATTACTCTTCACATCTAATACCACAACAAATCCTGAAAACTCTATGTCTAAAACACATCTGCAGTCAGTCCACATCTCTTCCTCTATGACAATCCTGCCCCAAGCCACCATCATATTATACCCGAATGCAGCAACCTAATTGGCCTCTTCATTTCCACCCTTGTCCCTCACCTTCCATTGTCCATGCCACAGCCAGAATATTTAAGAGATGACCAGATTGCATTGTTCCTTTGCTTAAAACCCTTAAAAAGCTTCCTGTCGTACTTAAAATCCAAGTTTCCAATCCTAGCTTACAAAGTCCTCTGCAGCCTGATCTTTGCTCACCGCTTCAGCTTCCGATTGCACCACTCTCCGCATGCCTGCTACTTTCCAGCCTCCCTGGGTTTTTGTGCTGCTCCTCTCAAACTCAGGATCATCTCCCCCTGAGGCCCTGCAGCAAACATCCTTTCTGCCTGGACTGCTCTACCATCATCTTCGTATGGCTATTGCTCCGTGGTCACTTGGGCCCTGCTTAGACGTCTCTTTCTCAAAGTGGTCACTCATTACAAAGGAGCCATTCAAAGATTCTCTATTATATCCTTTTTAAATTATGTATGGCATTTATAATTTTTATATATTTAATTACTCGTTTTCTTCCCTCCACAGGGAGCACAAACATTGCTCTTATCCACTGCTATCTCTCCTGTGGCTAGAAGCATGCTGGCATACTAAGAAACTTAACAAATATTTGCTAAATGAGTAGCCTGAAATCTAGGCCTAACTCTAGCCAACAACCAAGAGAGAAGGTTGTGCAATAAAATACACTAACAAATGGAAACATCTCCCCTTCCTTTTAAAACACAGCTGTATTAAGGTAAGAAACCATATTCTTTTGAAATAATTCTAGGGTAGCAAATAGAAAATATATTTACCTTATTATTACATCATAGGAGTCGATTTTTTCTCCTAATGTCTTATTCTTCAAAACTCCTCCATTACCAACCACCACACACTTTTTACAGGGTATGCTGTTGGACAGATGGACAAGAGAGATTGAGCCATCTTTTACAAAACTGGTTCCAAGAATCCACGCGTACTGTCAGAAACCCAGTGCCACATTCCACTTGTTGCGCAAGTAGAAAAAGAACCAACCGCGACTTAGAAGTCTAGAGCTGTATTAAAAAGATACAAGATTCAATGAGTAACATTCTACAGGAAGAGCATATCATTGTACGCAACTAGTATCAGCCCATACACGTTCTCTCATTTGATTCTCATAGCCACCTACTGAGATAAGTAAGCCTGATATTCCCATTATACAAATGAAGAAGGAGGTTCAGAAATCTATTATGTAATATTTTAAAGTCATACTCCAAAGTGGAACTAGCATGTGGATCCAGAACTTGAGACTGAAACACCATGTGTGTTTTACATTATGTAGGTCTACATTTTTTGCCAGCATCACCCACTCCTCGAATATACTACCTCTGGCTCTCTGCTGCATAAATGTGGATGGACAGTTTGGAATCTGGTGAGAAAAGTGCAGTTTTGGGTACCCTGCCCATGCTCACTTCAATTTCCCCAACATGGACTGGTCCTTGGAGCTTAACTAATACAAACTAAAAGTTCATGCAGGGTTCCTGGCAAAGAGCTTTAAAGTAGAACACAAAGGGGAACTCCATGTTGCTGGTCCATCTGTCTCCCAGCTCTTACCCCCACCCAGGCAGGCCTGGAGAAATGACAAAATAGACTGTGTCCTTGCCCTCTAGGAATAAAACTACAGAAGGGAAAGTTGTTGAGGCTGTCCTTCCAGGGCCCTCATGGCATGGAAAGTCCAAAGAGAACACGGTTTCCCTAAGACCCATGAAATCGGCAGACCAGATGAACTCAAGACCTTAAGGCTTTTAGGAAATAATGAGTAGCAAAACTGTACAAACGCTGTGCAACACGGAAACATGGAGAATGCAAGAATTCAGACACTGTTTAAAAGAGCCAAGCATTGGCTTTATCAGGTAAACAGGAAATGGTGTACACACTCCTATATTCATTAAATTTACCTTTTTTTGAGTAGTACAGTTTATCTGATTATAAGGTTGAACACTGTAACATTTAAAAAATACTTTTAGCATATTTTAATTGGAAGCTCTAGGCTCTCAAATATTAAAGAGTCATGCGTAAATCAGTGTCTACCTAATCAGTCAGAAAAATAAGCACCAGTGGCACAGGTTGGTAAGGACTTGGGGGCGGGGAGGACTATCCAGCGGATGCTCCTTCAGTGTGTGCCTGAAACCTTGCACTGTGGACACATCTCATGTCACAGTGGGTTCCAGAAGGGTCTGTTTGCTCATTTAAATTCTCTTTGTTTTCATTTTTTTATTTCTTTTTTCTGGGAGTCTACAGATTGAGCAAAAATGAAATCAATGTCAGACATATTATATTTGATTTGGTTCAAATGTGGCTGATGTCCATTTGCAGCAGAGAAGAACTGAGGGGAGGAAGGTACATAGTGTTGCCAGCAAGGGGACGCCGAACAAAAACAGTTTGCCATTCATTGTAAAAGTGGGCGAGCACCACATAGTCAGGGTGAGTCAGTTAACCAAGACAGGGGACTCAAGGTTCAATAAGCAGGGATAAAACCAAGGTAAGGGGGAAAAAAAAGGTAAGTACAGAACTTTCAAGAGACAAGGCCAGAACATTTAGAGAACAAGCTGCAGCAGAGGCTGGCTGGAGAACAGTGGTCAGTGCGGGTCTGCTGAATCACTTGGGGAACATGATGACCACATCATACCCTTAGGTGGTGTGACTTGCTCCTGGGCATGCTCTTCCCAGTAGATTCGATGGAGAAAAGAAAAAAAAAAAAAGCCCTTCTCTTTTGGGTGAATGCCACAATCAGTGCACACGTAACTTTCAGGGAGGGGATGATGGTCTCCACAGCTTTACAAACACGCCTACAATGCCAGGACCGAATTTGTCACACACGGGCACATTCTGAGCATTTCCAATTGATGCAGCCACTTCGGGGTCGGGAATCTTAACACTTCTGAATCATGAGGGTTGCTGAGATGCCTTTTTATCTCAGACTCCAGGATTTCCTGCAAAATCAGGAAAGAGGTGGACTGTTTCAGGGGTTCGTTCAACTCCTGTTTCTCCTGAAGCATCTTGTAAATTTCAGATTCTTCGTTGATGATGAGGCCACTTGGAGGCTGAACATGAGCTCTGGGCACGCCATTGGCCTCCTCCCTGCTGGCAGCAGTTTTTGAAATACCAGCAGTATGTTATCTCAAGGTGTTGTTAAAGTTGGAGATGTTTTCAGAAGAAGAGAGGCCAGCCGGGTTGCTGTACTGGTTTGGATGACCCCAGGGAAAGTGCTGGAAGCAGGAGAGGCAGTAAAGAGCACAGTATTTGGATTGCAGGCACTTCCTATGTGCAGGACCTCCTGGGGTTCAGAGTGTAAATTCATCTTGTATGGATGACACTTCCTTTCCTCCGTCACCAGAAGAGACTAGATTTTATATTCAGATCTGGCTACTGTGACAGTCATGTTGTCTGTGTAGCCTTTGATTTTTTTCTGAGCTTCCAAGTGCATCATATTGCTGATATTTTCCCTATCAATGGCTGCAATTACATCTTTCATACATCAATTAGCTATAGCAGCCTTGCTTCTGAAAGTGACTGGGAAACAGCTGAGAGGCTGCTGGAGGTCCTTGCTGTCCAGCAGGCGGAAGCCTCATGGTCCTGGGCTCTCTGTTTCTAAATAAGAAAGTAACATAACTCTAGATGCTTTTACAAGCAAGTTTGACCTCAATCCCTACTCTAGAAAGCCAACTTTATCAAAGGCTCTCTGCTGTGGGGCCATGTAGTATGGCTGAGATGGGAGCTGCTGAATATTCAAAACCCTTTCCTCTCAGGGTATTATTGCCATTATCCTCCCCAAATCATCCCATGAATGCGCCATAGCAGGGGGCAATTCTCACGCTCTCAGCTTGCTTGCCCTTTCCGTAACCTCAGGGTCAGTTCAATTCAGATCAGAGGCTACACCTCCTAAAGCTGGCTCCATCTCCACTAGGAATGCTAAGCAAGGCTGGGCACTGGGGAAGGCATGGCTAAGAACAGACAGGATCGAAATAACAACTGTTCCCATGAGATAACCTGCGTAGGAGTAGAGGGTGAGTATCTATAGATGGTATCTAGTCTAATCCTCTCCCTCCGATGAAGGCTGTAGGCCAATCTTCTGTCAAGACAAGGGGCTGCCTTGCCATGGGCCCAGGTGCCTCCCTGCATCCATGCTGGCCTGGAGTTCCCAGTCTGACACTGGGCTACCTGACTCCAACTACACAGAATATGCAGGGGCAAAGGTCAACAAGCCACCAGCATACCACCAGGGCTCCTATCCTTACAAAAGACTCCTGATCCACAAGCCAAATCTCTAAAGTTGACCCCGGAAAGGTTACTCAGCTCAGTCTATTTATATATATATACTTTAAGTTCGGGGATACATGTGCAGAACGTGTAGGTTTGTTACATTAGTATACACGTGCCATGGTGGTTTGCTGCCCCCATCAACACGTCATCTACATTAGGTATTTCTCCTAATGCTATCCCTCCCCTAGTCCCCAACCCCGCGACAGGCCCCACTGTGTGCTGTTCCCCTCCCTGTGTCCATGTGTTCTCATTGTTCACCTCCCACTTATGAGTGAGAACAGGCAGTGTTTGGTTTTCTGTTCTTGTGTTAGTTGGCTGAGAATGATGGTTTCCAGCTTCATCCATGTCCCTGCAAAGGACATGAACTCATTCTTTTTTATGGCTGCATAACATTCCATGTTGTCTATGTGCCGCATTTTCTTTATTCAGTCTGTCATTGATGGGCATTTGGGTTGGTTCCAAGTCTTTGCTATTGTGAATAGTGCTGTAATAAACATATGCGTGCATGTGTCTTTATAGTATAATGATTTATAATCTTTTGGGTACATACCCAGTAATGGGATTGTCACAGCTCAGTCTTAGACGTGGTCAGTTCTATAACATTGCTCAACAATGAACTGATAGCTTAGATCTTAGTGCTCACAGAAGTTCCACTCTATCACACTGAGATACAGATGGTCATCAAGCCCTAGATAATGCATGGCCCAAAGAGCATCACGGTAAGAGTAGCCACCATCTGTCATATACATGTGCCATGTCACTGGTCATCACTCAGACTCAAGGTCCTGGACTGCCTCCCACATACCCTACAAGCCAAGAAAAAAGAGGAGTCTAGGGGTTTCGGGCAGATCTCTTCTGCAGGGCAATTCCTCACACTCAGCCTCTCCTACTTATGGTCCCAGCACTTCAAGGACTTTTAAAAAACAGGAAGAAATAACATAGACATTGCCTCATTCAGAACGCCCATTCCAAAGATTCTTTACAGCTCTACTTCACCATATATTTAGGAGTTTCACTTTCTTTTTTTTTTTTTCCTCTCAGCTTATAGGGGACAAGCAGAAAGAGAGAAGGGCCTTTACTACAGGAAATCATACCAATGCTTTTGAAAGGAAACCTTATCAATGAAAGTCCACCTTTCCTCCTGGTCAAGGATACTGCAAAGATTTACGCATTTTTCTGAGAATCATGTAGAAACTCTTTTGAGGGCATCTCTAGGACTAGTCTTTGGCAATAACATCTTATCTACAGCTAGTGTTCATAGCACCACCACGGCTCTGGGAAGTATGGAATGGTACAGATCAGCTGTCTGAATCACACTCCTCATTACTCACTGCTTCCCTCGCTCCCTAGCAAGTACCCCACACTCTGAAAGGACTGATTCATTCTCTCCTTGACTTCATCCATTTGGCTTGTGATCCTGGCTTCCTCTGCCTTTTTATATGTGGAACAATGACTTTCAGTGTCCTTTGGGTGACTGTAAAACTTCACATATTTAATTAACATAACTTTCATGTAGAAATAGCTGCAGTAAATTGTGAGTCCCTAGAGGAAAGAATAGTATCATTTATATCTCTGTATGGTCCCATCTAAAACACTTCCTGATCCACAGGCTGTGCATGTTACAATTCAGTTTGGTTGTTACATTAAGTATACGGAGGTTATTTCCCTACTTTGTGTCTGGAGAAGCAATTACCTTTAACTCCTCCAACCACCCTGGAAACAAGCAGGGAAATGCATATGCTCTAAACTGCTTACCCAGAAAACAAAATAATTCCAGCGTTCCTGAACCTGTTAATGGAAAATCTGGAAAGCTGCTAAAGCAGTGGTAGTAAGAGATTACACTTCCCCCAGGTGAAAGGCGTGTTTCTCATAAAGTCAGGCAAAAGCCGGAAGAGTCATTACCTTATGCAGAGGGGAACATCAAACACAATCAATATAGAGCAAGCAAACGTGAGTTGCCCATTTCAAATGATCTATGATGTGTTTTCTTTTACAAATGCTTTTTGACATGCATTTTTCGTTCAATACCATCATGTACATTAAAACACATGACTCTACCTTCAGTGTAACAGTCTATGGCAAATCATGCTGGTCACATTCCCAACACCCATTACCCCATGTGCCTTGCTAGCAGATCCCTGCTTCCCTAAGCCTACAATAGTGAGCTCATTGCCTCTGCCAATGTTTCGTCTAGACATAGCCATGTGACCCATCCCTGGGCAATAAGATATTAGGGAAGTCTATTAGGTGCTTTTGGAAGAGATTCTGCTGCTGCCAAAAGAATCATGTGAACAGGATACTGCGTTACTCACTTCTTCCTTTCTGCTTAGACACTGACATGTGATAACAAAAAGAGCAGCTACACATCAGAGAAAAAGACAGCCACAGAAAAACTACCCCGGAGCCTTGACATTACTGAGCTACTAATTCAATCCCCCAACCAGGGCCACTCCAAACATATGTGCAAGTTGTACACAGTCCAATGTCAGCACCATTCAGATAACTATATGAATGAATCGGTCCTCCCTGGAGTTGTGCAATCCACAGTCTGTACAGCCATAAGCAGCCCCACACCGCAAGCTGGAACCACAAATATGCAGACCTGAATCCACATGTCTATGCAATACAGGAGATAATAAATGTCCACTTAGTTTAAATCACTCCTAGTGAAGACTATTACTTGCAGCCAGAAGATCCTCAAACTACACAAGGAACTGTAGTTGGAGACCTGGTTGCTAGTTCTGGCTCCTGCGCTTAGCACCTCTTAGGACCTTGGTCTAGTAACCTGACCTCTCTGATCTCAGTTTGCTGTTATGTGAAGTAAGGAAATCACTTACATCTTGTATGTTACTCTCTGATGGAAGTGACCACTTTCTTCGACAAAAGTACTGAGACTTCTGTATCTTTACCCAACATCTGACCACAGAAGATGCTAGAAAGCAGGCAGGGGCTGCTTCTGCATATTCACCACATATGATTCACTCTGTTGATGCAGAATCACAACTTCCCCTCATCCTCAAGCTCTCCTGGCTAAAACTCCTGCAATGTAAAGAAACTCTGCAAAACGGCAGAATGTCTAAAGCAGGGATGCAGATATTGATATTCCTTATAGAGTGAGGACTCTTCTTAATAAATACACCACTCATGTCTAATTGTTTTTTCAGTTTTCTAAGGGCATGCTCCCAGCCTGGCTGGTGGCCAGTCTACCCCCGCTTTGCTGATGCTGACAGAATGGCTGCTGCTTGAGAGAGCAACCAAGCAGCTTTTACAAGTCCTTGTCCATGTAGCAGGCAACTGACTTGACACAGGTGCTGTTGTTAGGTAAGATATTTATGTGTAGTTACTATATAACCACCTGTGCTGCAGGACTCAAGCATTCTTCACAAAACTTGGCATGCTTTCAGAAGGCAATGGTGGTGGTTGGGGAGGGGGAGCTTGCCTGTGCATTTTAAGTGGGAGCTGAGATGTGATAATTTAGGGTTGCTGCTGTTTCTAGCTGTGTGAGGATGCACTTCCACTGGGGAGAAAGCAATAATCCTTAGGGCTAGGGGCAGACTGGTGCTAAGGAGCTACATGGCCAGTCAGGAAGGATTCGGGTCTTGGAATATGGGCACATTTTTAGTATTCCTTTTCTGTGTTGCAGTTCTCTTTAAAAATCCTCAGTCTTCAGTGAAGTTTGTTAAACTTAAGTCGTCTTATGTTGGCTGTGCTTTGGAGAATAAAGAGAAGAGCCTGTGTCCATGAGAAATCAGCAGGAGTAGCAGATAAAAAAGATGCACTGAGATTGGTTGTTAGACAGCAGGGTCATATATTTGACTTCAGAATCCTGAAAGTGACCAGGCACAAAAACAGATGGGGACGAGGGAAATGATGCAGAATATTGGTAAAGACAGCTATTTGTTCCCCAATAATCTTGTTTCCTTCATCTGTTAAAATCATGTTTGTTTTTGAAGGTGAGCACACACTCACCTGGAATACACACTACATTTTCCGGTCCACATCCCAGCTAGGGGTGGCCTTGTGATGGAGTCCTATCCAATGGGATGCAAACGGTGGTTGCTAGTCAATGTTTAACAATCAGTTCTGGGGGAGGGGGAGGAGTATGAATGGGTAAAGCCCTGATTTGTAATGTTTGCCAATTCCCATGGTACGAATACTCTCACCTTGGGTATTTCAAGCTTTCACCTTGATGGCACTAAACATGGAGCTGAATAGGAAGAGATACAGCTCTCACAAGTTGGCACCAACTGGTTCCAGCACATCGTTGGACGTAAGGAAGTGTTATATATGATTTCTGGGAGATGTCCTTAAAGAAGAAGGCATGTCTCAAAGGGTTGGGGTATGCCCTTCGCCCTTTCCTCCTGCTGGCTGGCAGGGAGGTCGGCGTGATTGGTGGAACTCCAGCCATCATACCGGACCAGAAGGAACAAGTCACATATTTAGGAATGGTGGCGTCAAGGCAGAGAAGCAGCCTTGGTCCCTGATGCTCACCGAACCAGCCCCGGAAAGTTCACCTGCAGAGTTCATTTACACGAAAACTGAACAAAAGGAACACTTCCTTCTTACAATCACAACTGATTATTTTGAGTTTTCCCTTTCACAGTGGAATCTATCCCGACTGAGGGCATCATACATGCTGGACAAGATATCTGACAAAACTACAACTTATATCTGGTAGAATCTTAAAGGATTCAGATTTGAAACAACAACAACAAAAACAACATCTGAGCCTTTCTAGAAGGGACAGAGAGGATGGAAGGAGAATAAAAAGTAAGAAAAAAAAAAAGTGCTTATTAGCTGTTACAACTCAAAATATATCAAGCACCTCCCAGAGCACAGGTAGGAAAAAAATAAGCACAGAGCAAGGTCAGCAATTATATAAATATCAATAAAGAAAGCAGAAAAAGGAGGAAAGTAACTGGAAAGTAATCCGTCTCTACCTCAGCTCCTCCTCTCTGACCTACAGACCCATGATGAAGGACAAGCCAGCCTAAATATTAATACCTTCCTCCTGGGACGTGTGGACCCAGCTCACCAATCCACAAGCCAGGGGCTCAGGGAGGACTCTCCTGCCAAGGGCAGTCTAAATTCTCTGCCTGAGAAAGAAAGACTGTTCTCAGACATCTTCCATCTAGAGCGTTATTCCCAGGCTGAGAAGACAAATGAGGAACTTAAGGTCACTTGGGAACGAAGTTGACTCAGAGGCAGCATTCAGGCAATTCAGTCCATTCTGCTTTTCTGGAGTTTAAATGTATGGCTCAGGCACAGCCTGGCTTGTTTTCTTCTATGTGTTGTACACTGGGCACATGATAAAGGCAGAATGACTCACTTAAAATATAGGCAAAATGTAACAGGTGAACCCCTCTGAAAAGCGCTATGCAAATAGAAGATAATAGTGTCATAAATATATTCCTATCTATTTTCGAAATACTCTAAGGTTTGCCCAGGTCAAACACGCAACTCAGCAATGCTAACTGAACATCTGTGATGTTACAAAACATGTGTGACTGTGCTCCCTCTGTGGGGATCCTACGGGGATATTTGTCATTCACTCTTTATCTAGAGTCTTTGACTATACATTTACTTCCCTTCAGACTCTTGGCAACTTCAGACTATTAGGACTTCTGCAGTCAGCATGATTTTCAATCCCTCCTCACCAACTACACCCTACTTCTCTCCCAACAAAGGTAATGCTAAGAAATGAACTTAGCATGATGGTGGGGAGTGGGGAGATTCTGGTTACAGGAGACAAGCGGCAGGAAACAGCAAGACCAAGTCAGCAAGAAGAGAAAAATTAGCCTGATGGAGGCATACACAAACAGATGAACACCTGTGGGACAAGGGGCTGTAAAAGCAGCTAAACAAAGCACAGTCCAGTTCTTAGATAAAAACTAGTCAAGAACAAAACTTCTAGTCATATATCCTCCAGAATCCTGACAGTAGCTTGCATTTAGAGTCAAGCATCTTTACAAATATTTGCAGATAATTGCTGCAAACATTTAAGGACTCACAATTATCGCTCTGTTTTTTTTTTTTTGTTTTTTGTTTTTTGTTTTTTTGAGACAAAGTCTCACTCTGCCACCCAAGCTGGAGTACAGTGGTGGATCTCAGCTCACTGCAACCTCCACCTCCCCGGTTCAAGCGATTCTCCTGCCTCAGCCTCCCAGGTGGCTGAGACTACAGGCATGCGCCACCATGCCCAGCTAATTTTTGTATTTTTAGTTGAGACTGGGTTTCACTGTGTTGGCCAGGCTGGTCTTGAACTCCTGACCTCATGATCTGCCCGCCTCAGCCTCCCAAAGTGCTGGGGAATTTCAGGCATCAGCCACAACATCGAGCCACCTTTATTACTCTTAACTCAGACATCCAGGCACTGGAGTTAGAACTATCTAGGTTTACATCCTGGGCCTGGCATTTACCAAGTGTAACAAACTGTGTGCCTAGCCTCAGTTTCTCCAGAAACTTACAGAATTAGAGAGAATCAACATAAAGCACATATATGAAAGGTCTGCAAAAAACAATATTCTACAAATCAGAGCTATACAAATTTGGGGGTTGAAAAAATTTATGGTTGCTGTTGATATGCAATCAAAATTAAAATTGATTAGGTTGATGGCATAGTTTGAAATTATAAAAAACTGAAATGAACCAAAACATATTACACAAATACACACTTCAAACATCTTGGTCTCCAAATGAGATAATGAGATAAACCTGGACAAAATCTAATGCTGCTCTTACAGTAAACTCTATCTCCACTTTCAGACCTCCATCCACTACCCCCACTCTCTGCCTATTCTCTTGGGCAAGAGGGTAATTTCTGTCATTTTCCTTTTTAACGGAGGCCTGACATCTGTAGATTACCCATATTATCACACTGGCACCCTGGCCAAATTCTAAAGTGTGGCTTGAAACTTTGTGAATTAAACCTACCTCTGTGAAATAAGCCCAACAGTGAAGAAGCCTATTTTTGGCAATTCAATTTATATGGGGTTAATTTAATGACAAAATTGTCTAAAAGCTAAATTACTTTTGTAGTCAGAAAACATCAAAGCAAGTATATTTGTCCTTCAAATATAATTCTGATTTAAAAAGCAGAGAGCTGCTTCCAAAATCTAATAATCTCCTTAACAAGTGAAACAGAAAGAATCTCATCAGTAGTTTGGAGGATACATGGCAAAGTATGGGAAACAGCCTGTAAAGGGAGGCCATGAGCTGATTAGCAGGGGGTGAACTAATTCTTAAGTAGGAACAACTTAGAAAAAAATGAATGTAGGTTGAAAATGTCCTGATTTAGGACCAGTGTCGATCATCATCAAGACTCTGCAAACTTTTGAGCCAACCAGTTACGCAGCATCTAAATTAATTTTGTAGTTTTTAAAGTGTCAAGTTACTACTAGAAATTTTGGTTATACACAAAAGCTATGAAATTTTCCTGAGTAAATACACCTTACATTTCTGGGGTATATATTTTGAACCAGTTTAGCTGAAGCTAAAAGCCAGACTAGAAGCAAGGAAATAAACTCACTTGTCAAACTCATCAAAGAGATCACAACTCTGCAGTTTTGAAAGAGCAAGTCGAAAATATTCCGCTAGAAAACAAATGGAGCGTTATGAATAAAAGGATAATTGTGTCTTTTTAGTACTTAGTAAACCACCTTACTCCCTCCCCCACAAACCCATTTCCAACCAGCATAGCCTCATTGATTTATTCTGTGAAAAATTAATGACACAACTGCAATTAGCCAGCACTACTCCCATTCAAAATGGTAAATGTTCTAAAGACACTTTCCAAAACCTCCCCAAACACAACACATTTAATCTGAAAAACAATCATGTAATTTTAAAATAGCACATGATTCTGAAATTGAGGTTAGAATAGAAATAGTAAGTTTAACCCAATTAAATTCTCAAATTCTCTGCAAAATAGTTTTAAAATACAAAATAAAACAAAAAATACAACCCCCACCCTCACAGGATCAGCTGAATAAGCAAAATCTGACTCACAATGTTGTAGGCTTATCACCTTGGGCTTTTATGATCCCTCAAAAATCTAGAACTTAATGCTATATAGGGCCAATCACTTATCAACAAGCAGAAGGGGAAGTGTTTTATCATTAGAAGATGGAATCACTATCTCTTAACAAAAATAAAACATCCACTGGTTAAATTAAAAGACTGCTTAAGGAGATAAGAAATGCCGATGAAATAAAACTCACAGGTAAAAAGAAGCCATGGGAAGCTAGGAAGGAAGCTAACCCTCAGGTTTTCCTGCTAATTCTAAATCAGAATAAAGTTAAGGCACCAGAACTCACATGGATACATGCTGGCAGAGCAAATGTAAAAAGTCGTTTCTCAACAACAACAACAACAAATCCACCCCTGTTATCCTTTGGTTCTCTACTGCCTCAAAAGGAGTGGGAATTTATATTTTAAAATATAATTCATTTCATTTCATCCCAAAATCATATCCCTTGGAAATCATTAGGAAGCAGAAAGAATAAAATTATATTAACATGCCATTCTCATCAAACACCAGTCAAATTTAACAGAACCAGGTAAGAATACTACTGACCTGATGTTCTCATCCCATAGGGCAAATCAAACTTATCGCTACCATACAAGGAAGCAATCTTTCTAAAATCAGCTGCACACAAAAAAGGGTGAAACTGATGAAACCTGGAAGGAAAAGATAAAGAATGATTTTGCCAAATACCTACTATATTTGCAAGCTTTTAAAATCAAAACTAAAAATAACTCTAGCATAGAATTCATATCGTTATACTGGCTATATGAAAAATGTATAGAATGGGGTATTCAATGGAACTACACAACTGAAATGAAAACACTTTGCAGCTACTAAGATGAAAATGATGTTACAACTCAGGAAGTAAAAATAAAACTTAAAAACAAACCAACAGCAAGTGATAAAATAACAGCCATACATAGGAAAAAGCAAAGTAATATTATAAAAGTACTGATGCTAAGCTATTTCTAAATTTAAAAGTACCATATATGTGAAGTTGTGTCAGCTGTGACAAGTCTGGGGTCACTAACCCATAAATGACAAAGCTGAAATCCACACCCAAGCCTAATTATAAAGAAAGATGTTCTCTTTATAACACTGAAGATAAAAGGTCCAGGTTTCCCAGAAGAGCTTCTCCAAATTGCTGCTGGCCTTTCTGTTTCCCCTCAAGTACACTCTAGGGGACTGCTGTCAAAGAATACTGTCCACATGACAAACACAAATCTACTTGTCACTTACACTGTAGGCTTATATACCTGCTGGATAATCTTGCATAAATACCTTAAACCTTTTGGGTTTTCTCAGAAAGGAAAAGATTATCTTTTTTGACTAAAGTTAGGGAGTACCTTAATTCTAGAGTAGCATTTTAACCTGTGGTCTGCAACCCATATGTGGCTCATCAAATCAATTTTGTGAGTCATGATCAGCATCTTTTTAAAAAGTGAATGGGACAGAACACAGTATATCTGGAGTAGTAAAGGTAAAAATTATTTTTTTTCTTATTATAAATATGTGTTTGCACTATGTCCCAAGTAAAATGTATTTCTTCCTGTGAGTCATGTTCAAAAAAGTTTTAAAACACTATTCCAGTTTTGTAGTGGTCCTCACTGGACGCACACCTAGAAAGACTACAAGCAGCCATAGCACACTTGGAATCATATACAAAAAAGTCTTATGTATTTGCAGTTTCCCGGAGAGTTGATTGATTGTAAAGGGATCTGTAGCCCCAAAGAGTTAAAAATCAGTAATAAAAGACAATAGGGAAAAAATGAATTCTTAATGCTTCATAGAAAAAATGCTGAACAGATTGTGCCTGTTTTACCCAATTAAACATGCCTAGAACAGACTTTTATTTCTTGTTATCTAGAGCATTTTGACCAGCAATCTGTCAAAGTCAAGGTGACAGAGGAAAAAAACATTTGTGAATAGAAAAGTAAATTCTTTACAAAGCCCAAGAGCCACAATCAACAATCATTATTTGCACTCTATGTAGTTCATTAAAAGTTAATAAAAGGGAAAATTTCTACTCAAAAAGTTTAACCTAGAGGCAAGGAAGGAGAAGCCACAAAATAATAAGGGTGGAAAATAACATGGGAGCAACCAGGGGGAAAAATGAAACCCTAAAGAACAATTCGCTTTTTTATAGTCAAACACAAACAGACCTCTCTAGCCTCACCTGTGTGAAAAGAATACTGGTTTGATTGAGTTCCTCAATGCCTTTTCTTAAAATATATGCAGAGTTCTGACTAAAAGCACAAAAAGAGACAGGATATTCAAGCTCTTCCTTAAATATGGGCTGTCCACTTTATACTGCTAAGATTTGCATTAAAAAAAAAAAAACAAGTGTGGAAAATGATTACACATTTGGAATATTTTGTATGCCACAGGTTTTTTTTGGTATATTTTTACCTCAGCAGAGAGGCAAAAGCTGGCTTTGATAAACAAGGCTGGATCTTATTTCTCCGTTTCATTTCCACAGGTGCCACCCTATGAGACAAAAATAACATCAATCAGAAACCAGAACCAGGCACCCTGCCCAAAAGGAAGCAAATAACCTGGGAACTCATTCATGCCACCACTGAGAGGTTCTCTGGCAGCAAACAAAAATACTCCCTGCACCCCTTGAGGTGTGCCAGTACCTTCTCCAAGCCCTACGAACACCTGAGATTCATGGAGGTAAGGCAAGGGAGGGTGGAAAGGCTGAGGTGATTAGCAACCCATAAGTGATTCCAAGAGCAATGATTCAAAGGACCTTCAGAGAAGGGCCAGGATTACTGCATTGTAGAAGCTGCAACCAGGCTCACTTTTTAGAAGTCCCTGAAAGCTGGAGAAACCCAAACTCACCCCAACGGCACGTGGCTATTTACTCCTCCTGCCACATCTGCTGGTGCACACCGGCAGCAAACACCACAGGAACACCTGACCTGAGCAGGTTCCACAGACCCTTGCCTTGGGATCCGGGGGACTCTACAAATAACACTATCGAGAGTCATTTCTAACTGTCCTCTATTCTTGGCATAGGTTAGCCCTTGTGTGCTCCTGAATGGAGTACTTGTCTCCACAGTTTAAAAGGGTATTGTGAAACATGATGGAGCAAAACAAGGAAAACAAATGAAAGGGGTGGTGGATGGCAGGATCCAGACTTAGCCGGGAAAGAGGAAAACAGCTTAATACAAAAACTTATTAATGATCATCAATTATGTGAAGAATTAGTATTTAAAAACTAATCAATTTTCTTCTATAATCAGCAGAATTCAAAATGAAGGAAATACCCTAAACCCTTCATGGACAGACACAATTTTCCATTTTTGTGGGTACCAAAATCCCTATAGTTAGAACTGCTCGGTTTCTGAACTATGAGGCTAGTAAACTCTTTACGCAGGAAAACATCTTTTGTGAATACCACAATGGCAAGGGCTCCTTGATTTAAACATAAGGAAGATACATAAATATGGTAGACTAGCATACTAGACCAAGAAATCTCAATTATATTTGGAGGATAACATGAAGATATTGATTTCTAAAGTCATTAAAACATAGAAAACAATTTTAGGATATCGTGAAGACAACCTTTGGGTGACCTTTTTTTTTTTTTTTTTTTTTTTGAGAAAGAATCTCACTCTGTCGCCCAGGCTGGAGTGCAGTGGCACGGTCTTGGCTCACTGCAACCTCCGCCTCCTGGGTTCAAGCAATTCTCTGCCTCAGCCTCCCAAGTAGCTGAGATTACAGGCATCCGCCACCACGCCCAGCTAATTTTTTGTATTTTTAGTAGAGACGGGGTTTCACCATCTTGGCCAGGCTGGTCTTGAACTCCTGACCCACCTCGGCCTCCCAAAGTGCTGGGATTACAGGTGTGAGCCACCGCGCCCAGCCTTGGGTGACTTTTTAAAAGAAAAACACAATTGTCTGTCTTAAATCATTTTTAAGGAAGCAAGTTCATTGACAAACAACTGAGCTAATATCCCAAGGTACTTCCTGTGACTATAGTAATGTGTTAGCTGAGGAGTGACATGGTCACTTCAACCCTGATGACAAAAGACTGCTGATTGAGATCCTTTTCATCACCTTCTTTATCATTTTCCCCGTGACCAACAATAGGATTTGTAGGAAAGTAGCAATCTAGTAAGCTTTTTGCTTTCTCTTCTATTTTTGTCTTCCACTACTAAGGGTAGGACAGAGAATGTGGCAAAGATGTAGGGAAGATCCCCTTGATGTAGTCCTCATTTAGTACATAATCAGACTTCACAATTCTCTAGCCTGATATTTGGGTCCAAAGCCTAAAACTTTAGGGCCAAAACTACCCACCTGGCATTGGGTTTTTTCCAGTAGCCATTTGCCTAACGTCCTTCCGTGAAAAGCATTACAATTATTTTTCAATCAACCAGTAATGAAATCAAATGCAGAAGCATCAGCTTTTTTTCATCAAGTAAGCACAAGTTAGAAACATGCTCTAAGATCTACTATGACACACTGGCAAAAAGTACTGATTCTTTGTCTAAGACAGGAAGTTATGTGATTTATTTTAGCATAATTATATACTGCCACCCATTTGGGATTTAAAGGTCATCAAAACATTTTTCCTAGCCAAAGGACTGACAATGAGAAGGTTAAAATCCCTATTACAAAGGCTTTCTCTTCAGTAGAACTATCTGTGCCTCTTCAAAATTTTTTATGTGGTATTTCAAGTCAAAGCTATTTCAAAAGATACATATATCATCGTTCACCAAATATTTTTAAACAAAGGAAACCATATGTAGTATCTGTAGTTTATCAATAATCTATTATGCAAGCATTTTAGGTTCTAAAAGTTAAGTACCACTGAGCCCAGTGATTACTCCATTAACTCAAGGAGATGATCTATGGCATAAAGAATGTTATAACCCAAAGATGGTTAACACCATGCCTTCAGTGGGAAGTCACTAGAAAGTAGGTGTTGCTTGTCAACTTTTTTTTTCTTTTTTTTTTTTTATTATTATTATACTTTAAGTTCTAGGGTACATGTGCATAACGTGCAGGTTTGTTACATATGTATACTTGTGCCATGTTGGTGTGCTGCACCCATCAACTCGTCAGCACCCATCAACTCGTCATTTACATCAGGTATAACTCCCAATGCAATCCCTCCCCCCTCCCCCCTCCCCATGATAGGCCCCAGTGTATGATGTCCCCCTTCCCGAGTCCAAGTGATCTCATTGTTCAGTTCCCACCTATGAGTGAGAACATGCGGTGTTTGGTTTTCTGCTCTTGCGATAGTTTGCTGAGAATGATGGTTTCTAGCTGCATCCATGTCCCTGCTTGTCAACTTTTAAATTGTTCTAGATACAATCTATAGGACACTGGAATGGTAAAACCCCAATTTACAATGAAAAGCAAGAAAATATTCAAAATGTTACAATAGTACAAGTTTTTTTTTAATAGGACCCTCTATTATAATTTGTGGATTTGTGTGAAAGACTAGGTTGAGAGTTATTTTTAAATAACAAAATGAAACTTACCAGTAGACATTCGTTCCCCATAATATACAATGCAGTACATAATAGAGGAAGACAGCACTCAGGAATATGGCCACGAGATACCCTCTCATGGCTGGCTCACCTGAAACACAAGGAATGAAGTCCAAAGTGAAGGTCAGGTTGTTATACAAATGGATTTTCACAATGGCTCAAATATAAGCATTATTGGAAAAAAAATATAGAAAAGGAACTATAGAAAAATATGATGTGGGCCTGTAATTTTGGAAATACTCAATGTGCAGAAAGATAATGTTTTTTCTGTCTCTCCTCTTATCAATAAGCACAACATAATGTATGTTTAGGCCAATAAACAGTTCCATGGTCTCAAAGCTAGGGGCCTCCCTACTACTTTCTCATGTTAGGTAAGAAAGAATTCTTCCAGAATAAAATTTTATACATCTGTTCCATTTCCAAAAATTTTTTCAGAAACATTAAAACCTATCTCCGGGCGGTGCCAACCTGTAATCCAGCATTTGGAGCCGAGGCGGCGGATCACAAGTCAGGAATGAGACACAGTGAAACCCTCTCACTAAAAAACAAAAAATTAGCCGGGCGGTGGCGGCGCCTGTAGTCCAGCTATCAGGAGGCAGGAGAATGGCGGACCGGGAGGCGGAGCTTGCAGTGAGCCGAGATCGCGCCACTGCACTCCAGCCTGGGCAACAGCGTGAGACTCCGTCTCAAAATAAATAAATAAATAAATAAATAAATAAATAAATAAATAAATAAATAAATAAAACCTATCTCTCAGTAGAAAGTGAATAGATGCCTTAAGCTGTGAATAAACATTTCATTTCTTTAGTGCTTGAAATGATGTTAAAATGTTATACATTATAATTTTTACAAGTCATTTTTCTAATTTTTAAAAACTGAGGGAAAAAGCTACTGAAAAAACATTTCCCTCATCCTCAATTTGTATATACTTTTAGATCCACCTGTTTGATTTTTTCAACATCATAGTTCAGGTATATTCAGCTACTTGCTTGTTTTGTATTAAATTGACAATATTGTTCATTACACATTTCCAGACACACAAAAACCTTGACACAATCCTCTCTAAAATGTAAATGCAAAAAAAAGCCTTTATAGAATATATTTTAAAAACCTGTAAAACATGTTTGTTTAGTTTTCTCTTTTGCTTCAAAGGAAAAAAGGAGAAGTTTCCACTGTCTTATGTAATTAAATGTAAAAGGCAAATTTAATACATGGTTCCATAACAGACCTATTTCAATGCATGTGACTTTAAACAGGTATACTGCTTCTCTGTCTCCCTATCAAGTTTCTAGTTCATCTGAACAATTGCATGTGCCACTCCTTTCACTCCTATCCATGCCTATTAACCTTAATCATGGCAATGCAGTATAGAACCTGGGAGTCTGGTTGAATAAATTTCCAAATAATGTGGCATTGCCTTCTTTTCAGTGGTAAATATGCTCATATGGAAATCTTAAACCACTCCCTTGCCTTCATAAGTAGAATATAATACTAAACATAATTTAAACTTTCCTTGATAATATGGGGTCAGCTCAACAAGTATAATTGTTCTGGGCTTTCTTACAGTAGAAACCCTCTGCAGCTAATGGGTGTGTGGGGCTATTTGCTAAGCAGTCCTAAACTGGCATGATTATCTGGTTGAGTTGTTTTTCACTCCTCCCTTGCTGTCAGCTGTTGTTTCTGGCTGCTATTAATGCAGTCACCACTCCCACATGCCACTATTCTAAATTAGTTAGAAATGAAAACTATGTCAGGAGAAAGCAAATAAATAAGCAAGTTAATGAGCAAACTTTAGTTTACACATACTTCTAATTAGGTATACATAATCCCTGTGAAGAGTCAACACTGGTTGGAAACCAGAAGACAAGATTCACAGCTAACTCTACATATGGTGTGGGGAGCCTAAGGTCAATCAGTCTACCTCTTCTCACCTGAGGGTCCTCACATGTTTACAAGTGAGAACACACCATCTACCTCTTTGGGTTATTAGACTGTCCTGGAAGGCAGTTTACCATGGGCCAAAATAGTGATGAACATCTTCTTAAATGCTCAAATTAAACATTTAAGGCTCCACTAAAAATAACATCATTTGGCCAGGCGCGGTGGCTCATGCCTGTAATCCCAGCACTTTGGGAGGCCGAGGTGGGTGGATCACGAGGTCAGGAGCTCAGTACCAACCTGGCCAAGACAGTGAAACCCCATCTCTACTAAAAATACAAAAAAAAATTAGCCGGGCGTGGTGGTGGGTGCCTGCAATCCCAGCTATTCAGGAGGCTGAGGCTGAGAATTGCTTGAACCCAAGAGGCGGAGGTTGCAGTGGGCGACTCCAGCCTGGGCGACGGAGTGAGATTCTGTCTCAAAAAAAAAGAAAAAAAAAGAGTAACATTTATGCAAAGATCCAACGAGGATAAAACTTACCAGTATCAGCAATTTTTTTTAATGTATTTACATCTAAGACAGTATATGAAGGTCTAGGGAAAGTCAGTATTTACGAGTCAAAATTCCTATGTATTCTCCAAAACATACTCTTTGGGCAATTTATGTATTATTCAACAGAACATGGAGGTATGGGTAAGCGAGACTTGTGTTACTGTTTTGTTGTTTTTCATTCACTATTATGTGGTCTAACTAAAAACAAAGAAGTGTGACAGAATACTCTTCTTTCAAACAATAAAATGAACCCACTCTTGAACAGCTACTGCATAGACGACCTGAAAAACATTTAGGAAGTTTAGGCACTCTCATATTTCATGTACAATTCACAGCTTTGGTATTCAAGTTGCAAAGCTTTGAGACGGGCCAGCCAGGATATCCTTGTGATAAACATGGTTCCCCTGCTTGCTCACAGGAAAAAGCTTCCACAAATAAACCAATTCTCTAATTATATTCTATAAATGGAAAGGCCATTTTGCTTTGAGCAAAAGCTTTCAAAGAAAAAACAGAATTTAAGAGATTATCTGCTTTTAAAAAGACATATGCCTTTTAATATAGCTTTGATTACCAAAACAGTTTTCAAGATCTTGACATTAAACAGGACCAATGCCAGCTTTGTGGCTG